CGTTTGGCGCCTGTAAGTTTAAAACGGGTTCGTGCAATTGGTCGTTAGAATTTGCCGGAAGAACGCTAGCTTGTGCACCGTCATCGACGAGGTAGCCAATTTTCGCAATCACATCAGTGACGTTTAATAGATGGCTATGTTCACCGGCCACGGTTGCCGTTAAAGCGTACCGGCCGGGAAGTTTCCTGAAACGTTTTTCATGTCGGTCGGTTTGGAGTTCTGAAAATTGCAGGGTTTACTGTAGTTTCGAGATCTTCCTTGCTGATTGTGATACCAGCACCAGTCGGGGTAATCTGTCCCTCGTGGGCTAGAGACAGATCGTTTACGTGAAGAACTCCTTTTACAGGTTTGCGATCGTTCACTGTCATTATGAATGCGAAGGTTACGTGTCAACGTATGACATAGTTCCGTAATGTCATTGTGTGTCGTTTGCGGTTTTTCTTTGACTGTAGAAACATCGGAGTTAGAAGATTTGGTTATCTCCAGATTGAGGTCGGTAGATTCAGCCAGCTCGTCTACGGTATTGTTTTGAATCGAGACAAGTACAGCTTGCACCTGTTGAGGAAGGTTAGACAAAAGAAGTTGTTTAAACAGGTCATCGTCGAAAGTCCTTTGATCAATTACATCGCTCATTCGTATCAACATGTCCGTTGCTGAGCCATGTTGAAGATCGATGTTATTAAGGAGTTGATCCAACCTTTGTTGATCTTTTAGATTACCGCGTTTCAGAATAGGCCGTTTTACAGTTTCATAAGGTTCCGAAACATCACTAGTAAACATACTAGGTGTTTGTACCTGCAGAATTCGCGTGTTAGTGCCTTTACTACTACGAGGAACTGTGCACGTTAATCGGTCATTCAATGCTCGTAGAGGTCAGCCTCTATGTAGCAGAACCAGGCTTTGATGTTGTCCAGCCAGCATGGCACTAGCTAGAATGAAGGTGGTGTCAAAGTCTTGATCTTAAGTACCTTAGTAGTCTGTTCTGTATGGCGAAGATGAAGTACAGGAATGAACGAGGGAAAAAAGATCCAAAAATATGAAAAAATATCACAATATATAAAAATTTAGGTAGAGTAATGATATATGAACTTCCTAATAGGAAACGACTTACAGTTTACGAGTCGGTGTACCAGATCACGTCGGCTCACCAGTGAAGAATGCCACAAGTATTTGTAGTTTGGCAACAATTTAATCAGTAACACTCACAACTGGATCGTGCTCACCCAGTGAAATAAAAAGTAAAAGGCGAAGAGTTTCGGAGATATATTTGATATGTCATAAATATGTGGAGAGGTGACTGGTCTAAATTGGCCAGAGATTGCAGGAGAAATTGAGCTCGGCGTGCCAATCGTGATCTGGTGCGGATGCATCGCCGAGCGCCTTCAGCTGGGTGAGTACATTAAAAGTAATGTAGTCAGCATTAAATTTCAAAGACGTACAGTATTATTAATTTTGAGTATTTATTTATCGCTACATTCGCTAAGCGAAAGCTTCTATTCCACCCAGAACCACTTAAAACACTTTGAAACTGATCATATAGCAGCCGTACACATAATGCAGGGTTCCACTGTAACAAAAAGGTCGCATTCGGTCAAAACCTTGTCAAGCTCCTTTTCGTTATTTCGACACCATTGTTCTAGTCGTCTAATAGTAACCATCTCGGCATGTTGAGTAGCATCTCTAGTTGCATTCACCTAGAAATCACAAAACTCCTACTAATGAGTTACTTCGTTGCGGCCAGATGCAATTACTTCTCCATTATAAACAAAAGCACATCCTACTGGAACTTCGTTACATTTGAGTGCTTCACAAGCCAATTCGAAGGCAACATCCATGTGAACATTCCTTCAGAAATATTGACCGCACGACCTTGAGGAGACCGAGCATCTTATTACCGAAGTAAGGGCGCTCTATTTAAGAGTAAGGTGGTATTTTTAACTTCAGTGTGTTAGTTTTGATTGTTTATTACACATCAAGTCCGCCGTATTCACTTTAATTGAACTAACGTCAGTTGAAGCGACACCAAGAATATCGTTACTTTTTAAAAGTAACTTTATACACGTTGTTTAATTGAGTATACCAGTTTTATTTCTGTTTGTTGCACTTTTGAACTTAGTAGTTCATAATTCACTTTTTTTGCTGGTTATCAGCTTTATTATCTACGTGTTTGGGTGTCTTTGCTATTTTTAAACAGCTGACTGATGACTAGATAGTCCAAAATTTTAGACTAAAACTTTAGATAAGTGCTTCCTAAGAAGCAATTATCAATACCTAGCCTGTGCTATAAATATCATTCAGAAAGTTGCATACAGTGCGTTGAGTGCGAAAGATGGTAGCAGTGAGTCCATACAACTCCAACTTTTGCGGCTTCCAAAAGGTTGCATGAAAGTGGATGAATATAGTCATTCCAGCAATGAGCTTCTGATACTAAGTGCTTGTCATTTGAGACCCCTACAATGTTTTAGGCTGCTAAAATGCATATTAGTAAGCGCAATCATGACGGATTTAATAATGCTTTGTCGATACATAAATGGATTTGCTGTCATCCCAAATAATTCCAAAGTCTATGGACTTACATGTGTCTAAGGAGGAAGTACTCATGAAGGCAGATTTCTTCTGCTTCCAGCTCTCAAAGTGAAAGCATTTGGAAGACGCCTGGAAAATTCAATCTCATGGCTAGGTCTGTTTTTGGCAGGAGAAACAAAAACCTGACCGCCCAAATCTCCGATAATCATCCAGGTCTCGCAGTGTGTGTAGCACAACTGTGATTGCTACCCCTGTGGAAACTGATGACTGGACATAAATCATGGATAAAAAATAACCTCATGTTTCGTTTACAGAATATAAGAAATAGGTGAATGATTCTAGTGACAGGTCAGTCATCTTTCAGAGTCAAGGAGAGCAAAAACTCAACTCAAAACTCGTTGAGCACGACATTGGGTTGGTAAAAGATCTACTTAACTAGCTGATGCATCAAGGTATTTCTAGGGTTACCTTGCTGAAGGTTTGTCGACTAGGTAGCCAAGCGGACTTGCAATAGGACTAAACCAGGCTGCTAAAAATTGTATTTCAATCGCCCAATGAGAGGGGCTTAATGCCATATAATGTACATGAATTAAAATGTTCAGGAGTTCTTGTTGGTAAAGTCTTGTCGCTCGTGGGCTGTTTAAAAAAGCGCGATGTAACGGTACTAAAACTAAGCAACTTAGAATTATAAATTTTCGGGCTATGAGGATTCGACAGAGAATGATGCCGAAGCCACCCTCGGTACAACATGAAGCTACTTAAATGGTCTTCGGATCTGTCACACAAATCACAGGAGTGTAATAAGCGATAGGAGCTAGATGTACAGATATATTCTACCTAGATGGATGTAACTGTCGTCACAGAAACTCGGCTGACTCAGTCTATAGACAATAGGGAACTTGATGTTCAAGATTTTACATTAGTAAGAACCAACAGAACCCAAAAGCGTAAAGGTGGAGTACCTTTATTCCTTAATTATACCATCTTATTTGCCGTTATCGATAACATATCGCAAGAGCGGAACGTGCAACTTAGTTAGCCACTGCTTGAGATGCAAAGGAAAGGAGCTGTCGATTGGTTCGGTTTGCCAGTCCAAATTGTAAGGTGAATGAGGTCTTGCTAGACGGATTTAACACATGGTCATCAAGCGGTCGATGATTAGTTTTAGGAGACTTTAATTCACCTAAGGTAAACTGGAAAAATCTGAGTGCTAAGATGTCAGAAAATTCTTTCGAACGAAAATTCGTTGACGTGGTTACTACACATCCCCTAGTTCAAAATGTGTAGGAAGCAGCTAGGTATGACACGGGCTCCAAATAATTTCCACTAGATCTCATATTATCAGGATGGTTTTGCAGACCTTGATTATATGCTACCCGTAGGTAATACTGACCGTGCAGTTCTAGCCTTTGAATTCCACATCGTTGTCAACAGTGATCAACAGCTCATGCTAAATCAAACATTCTGAAGCAGATGTAGATGAAATTATACACTCAGTAGATTGGATATTAGGACCAGAATCCCCCGTTGACACGGCCTAGAAGGTATTCAGAAATATGCACAAAGTTTGCCGCACCTCACATTCCTTGTACTACATCAAATTATCCGAGAAACTCGCCTCTGGTTCAGTGAGGAGGTTCGTAACCTCCGTAAGAGGAGGTGGAAGAGATTTAGGTTGCTGGATACTGACGAGACAAAATCTCAATATCAAGAAGTTCGTAATACTTGTGTTTCGACCCTCTGCAAGTCTAGAAGATTGTATGGAGAAAAGCTTGTTAAGGGGTCTGTAGATTATACTACATGTTTAAATTTGTAAACGAACCAAATAACTAAGATAAAAGGTAGTGTCCCAGTATTATGGGGAGAGGGTAGTATTCGATCATGACTTTTAAACTTTCAGAGATGAATTTTACTCAAGGAAAGAATAATACAGGACTTTTTAGTGCCCAAGTCATTCAAAATACGAAATAAATAAGATCTTGCGTTCTATGATGAAGCAAGAGGAAGCGGTTTACTCGTTCCTCAAAATTTTCCATTATCTGCAAAAATAATCCCAGATAATTCAAATAATATTGGTTGTAATTCAGTCAAAATGGAGCAGTTGCACTTATTTTGTATATTTCTCTCACACGTCTGTTTAATATTGTGTTTAACTATTCAGTTTGTGGCTCCATTTGTTTCGTTTGGAATGTATTTCTCATGTTTAAGTTTTCGTTGATTTTGAAAAATTTCCCCTTCCTATGCTTCATTTTGTGGTGCACCAACTTAGACCGAAAACACACTCATCCAAGGTTCCACGTTAATAATAAGTGACCATTATTTTAACTTGTTCAATTTATATTTATACTTATTTTCAATTTATCATTTGATGGTGTAATATTGTGACGTGGTAAATATATTTTAAATCATAGTTTTTCATTTGCATGACAAATACTATATAAATTATTTGTATTTTTGTCTATTTCCTAGACTCCATGATTGACAGTGATACTGATGAATTTTCACAACATGTATCGTGTACAATTGTACCTTATGTAGAACAACAACCTGTAGCTGGTATTGAAGTTTACTTCTTGAGACAATTGGCTAATCCTTTTCGTGTTGCCTGGACTCTTATCAAGTTAGGCTATGAACCATTGGCACCAGTTCAGTTCAGTTCGCCTCTTGTTCTATTTGGTTTATCATCTCCAATTTATGTCTATCCGAATTTCTTTAAGTATACCTATCATTTAATGAAAACAATAGGTGTTTGGAATGTGCTGTCAACAGGATTGTTTGCAAATGCTACACATGATTTTATTGTGGAAATATTCCGTGCAGCGTTTAGACGAAGAACAAATATATGGATGCGAACAGAAAATAATTTTCACAATAAAAAACAGATCGTCATTCATACTACTACTAATCAACAAACCAATAAAGAATTTCAGACTGAACGACTTTTGGAAGAGTCAAGACTTTCAGTTTTCTTTGAAAGATTTACTGAGATATTATCACTGAAACTTTGGGAAGTCTTAGTCAGTCATCCATTTTATGGTATGTTCTATTTTATCTTGTATACTTCTATTTCTTTTGCATATCCCATTTCCGTAGAACAAAGTACCATATCAACATTAATGTGTACATACGTATGTATGTATCATCTGATTGTTATATTATTCAGGGATCCCCTGGTAATGGGTACCAACTAGCACGGTGCTCAGGTCCACGGTTTTTTACCGACCACCTGGTGTCAAAACATAGTGTTCGTGATGTCGAGTCACGTAGGACAATAAATTCATTGAAACTCGATCGACGGAACTTAATCATCACTAAGGAATGGATAAACATGACATTGGTCACTTACCCAATGATCAACCAGTTTAAACTTCTGTCTCATAGGAGATTATTGACTGCCCCGTGACCACGTTCCCAAAATATTACCGTTACACCTGACAAATCCAAACTGTCAAGAAACTTAGGTCAAGTAGAGTTTCATACCGAGTAGTTTGGAATCTCAGCCCAAAGAGGCTGTCAGTCAGTCATAACGTAGAGCCTAGCACAACTGTGTTGGCCCATGTTCCCATACCACATCAGCCCAACGAAAGGAAATTAACAAGATGAGTAGCTAAGGAGTCCAAGTACTATTAGTAAAAATGGTAATGAGAACGATTAAACATTGGAAATATGGTTAAAAAACATGGAATGTAAAGGGATGTATATGGAGATACTCAGAATCAAGACCTTAATACGGTTCAAAGAATTGTATTTTTTAGTTTGAATTCGTACTTATTCTTTTTTGTCCAGATCTTATCCAGTTGATTATTTTAAGATCATGGGGGTTTGGGACAAAAGTATTTGAAGGAACTAAATATATTATGAACACTTTACTTATTTTGTAATTTTCATAAACCCTAATGGGCTGGTGTCTGGCGAAATCTCAGCATGGATCTAGAAACTTTACTTTCACCAACTTACGTCACCTGTGGTTTAGGTGGAATACTTTCCTACCAACAAAGTAACGAGTATACTTCACAATAAGTCCTATTTGTTTTACTTTATGGCCGTGAAATATGAACTTAGAGAGATAGAGGATGTTCGTAGACAACTAGTTTTTGGCCATAGATGCTTGCTTAGCATTTCTAGATCACTGAGTAAGCGATTTCGAGGTCAAAAGTAGGCTATTAGGTATAAGTAGTGAATCTTCATCGAATGAGGTGGCTGGAACACATGTTATGTATACCGTTCAACCTACCTTGAATCACTATGGTAGCTGGTTTCAGGATAGAACTAGAAGCCTCCTGGCCAAGACAAACCAATAACGTACACAATTTCCGTTTTCGATTTAATAGAGAGTTGGCTACCGAGCCGTGTACTCGTGCTCTGATAGGCAGATAGATATATCGCCTGTTTTGAAGGTGGTATTTATTTATTATTTATTTGAACCCCGACCGAAGCTGCTACCTTGATGCGGTGGTCGGGCTTGCCTATCGTGATGACCCAAGCGAGCTATATTGGCTGGAACATATGTTCCTGTAGGTTCTACCATGCCAGGCAGGTCGATTGGTGAACGGTAAGACTAAAAGCAGCAACTCAAGGTCTAAGGGCGAAGTCGTACTGCTGACCCTCATACCCGTAACAGCACACGAGGCCAAGTTGGTCACATTCAAATCCTTCCTACACCTCATAATACCTCTCTTATCTCCATGACTAACCCTCCTCACGTTTTTTTATCACCTCGCACCGCTAGGGCAAACGATTCGAGTACGTGGAACGCTATTCCTGGTCTCCTGAAACCACGCTCTAAACTACACGTAGGAGCTTTTAACGTCCGAACACTGTGCCAAATAGGACAGCAGGCTTCCTTAGCTAGGACTTTAGAATCTCGCGCCATCGATGTGTGCTGCGTCTCCGAAACGCGCATACAAGATCCAAGTAGCGTCATTCATTTGACCTCACCATGCCAAAATAAAGAACCGACTCGATTTACGCTTCGTGTATCTGGAAGCCCTGATTCTGCTTCCCGTGGCCTCGCCGGCGTAGGTATAGCATTGAGTCCTAGAGCAGAACTAGCTCTCTTAGAGTGGATCCCAGTAGACAGCCGCTTGTGCGCTATCCGACTGAACGGAACAGTAAGAATCCGGAAAGATAGGGACACTCGTCGTTGCCTCTTCGTCGTCTCTGCCTATTCTCCCACTGACTGCAGCTCAGATGATGTAAAAGATGAGTCTTACAGAAAGCTTTCCGACCTTCTCCGAAAAGCTAGGCGCTCTGGTGTAGTAATAGTGGCCGGTGACTTTAATGCTCAAGTAGGTAAACTAAGCGATAGGGAAAGACACCTAGGTGGATCTTATGGTGTCGGGGCTCAAAGAACAGATAATGGCGACCGTCTGTTGCAGCTATGCTCAGATAACCGCCTGTTCCTTGCAAATACTAACTTTAAGTATAAGGAAAAACATCTTTTAACATGGCGACCCCCGAATTCGTCCCAACGTTGGACCCAAATAGATCACATCGCTATCAGCCACCGATGGAGGGGGTCGATAGAAGACTGTCGCTCATTCTGGAGCACATGCTTAGATTCAGATCATGCTCTAGTGCGAGCGCGTATTTGCTTGCGTCTTACTAGACGTAGGAAAGACGCTGCAAGGAAACCTCTTAGGGGCCTACTTAATGATAGTCAAGCTAAGAGTATATTTCAGGAACAACTAGGAAAACAGTTAGGCAGCCATGTATGTGATGCCCACCCCGATGCAGCATGGAATGATATCCGAAAAGCTGTGGAAACAGCAGTGATATCTGCTAGTAAGGTAAACCAGAAGGTTAGGGAGCAACACTGGATCTCAACAGCATCTATCGCACTGATAGATGCTCGGAAACTCATTCCACCTGGCTCTGAACATAATGAAGAGCGGAGTCAGCTTAAGCACATGCTGAAAAGAGGCCTACGCAATGATCGCGAACAGTGGTGGGTAGCGAAAGCAAGAGAGATGGAAAAGGCAGTGGCAATAGGTAATAGCAGACAATTGTTCAGACTCGTTAAGGAAACCGGAATTAGGAACCCGACCGTTAGCGAAACAATCTCAGAGAAAGATGGACATATCATTCATTCTCAATCCAGGAGATTGAATTGTTGGGCAGAACACTTTAGAGATCAGTTCAACTGGCCTTCAGCCACACTTCGGTTTCCCACGATCTCTAGTCAACCTGAATGGCAAGTTAATGTAAGTCCTCCGTCCCTTTACGAATTTGAAAAAGCCATAAGAAATCTGAAACGAGGGAGAGCAGCAGGCCCTGACAGGTTTACTCCTGAGATTTTTAAGGATGGTGGTCCAGTATTAGCAATGAGATTAACCGAGGTCTTAGGTAGAATTTGGGAACTGGACGTAATCCCATCTGACTGGTCTCAATCACTGTTTGTGCCAGTCTATAAGAAAGGACAAAAGTCCTCTTGTGACAATCACAGAGGAATCAGTTTGACTAATATAGTGTCTAAAATATTAGCTTCAATAATGCTTCAACGCCTAATCAAAGCTCATGAAGAGCAGATTAGAGAAAACCAGGCCGGTTTTCGACCTGGACGTGGTTGTATAGATCAGATATTCACACTATGTCAGGTTCTAGAACACAGACATACATTCAGACGCCCCACAATGGTAGTATTTCTCGACCTTAAGGCGGCATTCGACTCTATTGATCGTAAGGTTCTATGACAGTGTTTGTCACTGAAAGGAGTACCAAAGAAGTACATTAACCTTATGAAGGCTCTCTACTCGAACACAACTGGTAGAGTGAGAGCTTATGGCGAACTGTCATCAGAATTGATTACCTCTTGTGGTGTTCGTCAGGGCTGACCACTCTCCCCATTCTTGTTCAACTTTGTGGTCGACGTACTTTTAGAGATAACACTCTCCTCATCTAAATTTCCAGGGGTTGAACTTGTACCGGGAGGTTCACTTGTTGACTTAGAATATGCTGATGACATAGTTTTATTTGGTGAAGACGCTGACAAAATGCAGAGTCTTCTGACCACTCTAAGCAACAATGCAAGCATGTTCGGGATGCGATTATCCCCCTCGAAATGTAAAATGGTGCTTCAGGATTGGGTTGCATTGACACCCGAACTAATGATCGAGAGTGAAGTAGTTGAGCGTGTCGATCGCCTCACTTACCTCAAGAGTCTCATCAGCCCTTGTGGTCTGGTGTGTGACGAAATCTCAGCACGGATACAGAAGGCTCGATTAGCTTTTACCAACTTGCGTCATTTATGGCGTAGGCGAGCTATCCGTCTATCAACCAAAGGACGCGTTTACTGCGCAGCAGTTCGTTCCGTCCTACTTTATGGCAGTGAAACATGGCCGGTAAGAGTAGAGGATATTCGTAGGTTACTAGTATTTGATCATAGGTGTCTTCGAAATATTGCTCGTATATCCTGGGACCACTGAGTAAGTAACTCAGTTGTTAGGAGACAGGTACTAGGTAAGGATGGCAAATCAATTGATGACGTAGTGAAACTTCATCAATTGAGATGGCTGGGACATGTGTTACGTATGGCACAAATCCATGAAGTCACTGACAAGTGGACTGAGCCATGTTGGTAGGTGTAGACTACCTGGTTGGGGACCACGAGATGATAGCAACCGATGGTTAGAGACGTTGAATGACATGGCTCAAAATCGTTTGCAATGGCGCAGGTGCATCCACTCTTTGTGTTCTCCCAAATTCTAATCTTCTGAATTATTCATGTCCCTTTTTTCCTCTTTCCAAATTTATTTCACTGGATTATACTCTTTAAATAACATCTTCAAACCCTAATCTTTCCGATTACTGCTTATACTCTTACTACCTCTATCACTACGGGATTTGAATCGACAAGTGCATCTCTGTACTAATGTGGTATGGCAACTTGAACTGATGTACGTACGTACGAAGTTCTACGTTGTTACTGACTGACTGATTTATTTGAACACATAAATATTGGTACAAGGGGGGACCAAATGTATATGTGCCACACAAAGCAATGAGAATGGGAAGAGAAAGAGGGTAAGGTGCGTGTAGGAAAAAAAAAGAAAAGAACAGATTAGTGTAAGGTAGTGTAGTAATAATAATGATAGTAATAATGGGGGAAACGGAAAGGTATAACAGAAGAATTCTTTCAGTTAAAGAAGATACAACCACTTTTTATGAAGAAAGTAAAAGAAGGTTACAGCAAGATTGCCACTGGCTTCTATTCTGAGCCATATCTGATAACGTCTCTAGTCACTGTGTCGCACTATCTCTAGGACCCCAACCAGGGAGTCGTGAAGGACCATTAGGAGCCAGCCCTTTGCAGCTTTCTTTCATACCACGAAACCATATCATACACTGACCACCTCTCCGCTTCTTCCAACCAGTCCCAGCGTCGGCAAATAATGCACAACGTGGAATTCTCTGGGACGACATTCGTAGAACATGCTTAAGCCACCGAAGTCGGTGTTTCAAGATGGTGACACCAATTGCATTATCGTCTCTGTGACCGAACACACGATGCCGAATCTCTGCATTACCAGCATGGTGTTGCCACTGGATGTCAGCAATCCTTCGGAGACAGCGATGATCGAACTGAAAATCGAAGCAAGAATAGAATTTTCCGTAAATATCGTCATCTTCATTTTATTTGTGTGTGAGCTGTGATACTGCCCGGGTGCCCAGACCGAGGCAGGTGGTTTTCTTAGGGGGCCACACCCCGAGTCATTGACCTAAAGGTCTGATCCACCAGGCAGTTGAGCAACGTCAGGAGTTGCAGTTCCATTGTAGCCGGTGACCAACGATTGTTTCATACGCCATTTGTTCCCTCAGGATACTGGTACCCATGTGCACCATTGGTTTGGAATCCGGTTAAAACGCTGGACATTCGCTTTTCATCCTCTCATTTTCGTAAACAACACCCCCGCCACGAGAAGGCAGTGAGTAGGACTTCCCTGGCAGAGGCTATATACGCGTGGCCGTGCGAGAGCATTTGGAGAAGGAGGGCGGGTCCACCCCACTCTCGGCCATACCAGAGCATTTGGGGGCAACTAAGTTATAGCTATGCCTCCTTAAGTTCTATAATCACCATTTACGAGGATCTCACGCAATCCTACCTAGCTTTTTACACATCTGAGACTAATGTTGTAGACTAGTATCATGTTGTTTTGTAGCCTTTCTCAAACTTCTTTCAACTTATTGTTAAGATTGATTAATCTGTTGCATAAGATTTTCAGCAGATTATCCTTACTATGGCAATAACACAAGGTGACTACTGAGAACTACTAATTATTATTACAAATTAATTCTTTTCTGGAGCTTAGATACTTTTGGACTTTCTAATATTCCAGTCAAAATTATAGATCTAGACAGATACGTATGCAACAAATTTTTGGATAGATTTGTATTTTTGTTAAAAATATTAGATTATGTGCACCTTCATCTACGTTGTCACGCCATGTTTCAAACCATATTCATTTGATTATATCAGTAATCAATCAATCATTGTATTTTCATACCAAATCTCTTTATGAACTACTAAATATTAGAATAATCCATTCATATCCGTGATCATAATTTTGAATATTTTCTTAGGTTAATAATATACTTTTGACTAAATGTCAACTTGTCCGTTAAAGCCTATTAAATGTCCTTCAATCTTGATTACTGTTTCAATGTGATGGTCAAGTTTCTTCATCACAATGATCCAGTTAAGCTGTATTGATTAAAACATTCATTTTTATCGAGATCCTATAATTCCTAACAAGTCAATTAAATTAAGACTTGATGGCGAATCAGTATTTTCGACATACAATCAACATCTGCAGTGATGCTATCTTCCCAAAGACAGAAGAAAGGGTTCAAAATTGTTGACTTTAAAAGTAACGTACTTTTTCCTAGATTCCAAATCCACAGCGTTAATGGTAAGGTTTAAGAGTTATGCAGATAATTCAACATGCAACTTATTCAAGAACGTTTACATGTATTAATAGGTAAAGTATATATATTGCATAGAGATTGTAGATCACACAAAAAAAAGTATTTTAGATATCTACTAATTCTTGTTCTTTAATTTGTTATCTTTTAAAATGTTAGAAATCACATAATAGTCTATGTTTTATTAATTCAGTGATTACTGTTCGACAGATTGCAGCTTTGATTGGCAAGGAAACTCAGTATACATTTTTTCCTATGGCTGTTCGAGCTGTTTATCGTGAAAATGGTATTTTAGGATTTTTCCAGGTAAGCGATTATTGTTTTATCCTATGATACATTTTATTGGTTCCTGTCTCGTTCTCTCGTCTAATGATTGGCTTCCTGCACTTCGATTCGGGTAACCATCGTACGTAAAATGTGTAGAATTCAAAGCTAAATATACAAACATGTACTAAGCTATTATTAGACTAATCTAAACTTTAGACGTATACCGATCAAGCATACTTAGCCTGTAAGCTAAATGTATCATATGAGAGCCTGTGGTGGTCGGTATTCGATATAATCCTTAAACTTCGTATACAGTTCGTCTTGATAACCGTTCTATATAACGTCCCAACGGTATATTAATCAGAAGGCAAATACGAAGTGTTGATTACGTTTATTACGAGACCACACACATATATCCAAATGTACAGATGCGTTAAACAAGCATAGAAGAGTTGTGCCGAAAGGCAAGCAAGCGAGCGGGAGCCAGAGCAAGAGCGAGACGAGAGTGTGTGAGTGAGTGAGTGTGTGTTGAATATGAATAACATGGACATATATATACCATGTGAAATGAATGAGCAATCGAATCAAATAAGCAGTTAGTAGTAAGACTAGCAGAGTGAATAAATGCGTAGGCCGTAAGCAATATTCAAGCATACGTATTTCATACAAGCACAAAATAATAAGGGTACAATAAGTTGTTATAGTGCGGATGACTTTGTCCGCTAAATGAGTTAGCAAAAGGGGTTAACTGCGTTAGATGAGACTAAACTCATTTGCACGTGAGTCGCTATAAGCCAACATTTTGACTAAAGAAATACTAATTCAGTCTCATTAATACCTCGTGTTTTGATTTCTCACTTGTATCCTTTCTTTGCAAACCATATTTTTATGTTTAGTTTCTTAACGTAATTTACGCTGTTATTGTTATTTCAAATTATTTTCTATCCATCTTTTTAATTTATAGTGCTGATGTTGTCAAACAACTTTGACAGATGTGTGTTTGTACTATTTACAGTTTTATTGATGATCGATAATCAATTAATTTACTTGGTCATTTACGCCTGTTACCCTTCGTAGATGAGCATAGACCGCCCACCAGGATTCTCCAACCAATTCTATCTTGGGCAATACTTTCCAGTTGCTATTCATTCTTCTGATGTCTGCCTCCACCTTTCGACGCATTGTGTTGTTTGGTCTTCCTCTTTTTTTTCTTCCTTCAGGATTCCAAGTTGGTGCTCGCCTCGTGATTCAGTTTGGTGATTTCCACAGTGTTTGTCCTATCCACCTCCAACGTCTTTTCTTAATTTCCTCTTTAGTTGGAAGCTTTCTCCAAGTTTCAGCCCCGTACATTAGGACTGTCTTGGCGCTCGTATTGAAGATTTCAAGTTTTATATCGATTGATAGTTGTTTTAAATTCCATATTTTCTTCAACTGTAAGAATGCTGTCCTTGTTTTGCCAATCCTTGCCTTTACTTTTGCATTAGATTCTCCCAGCTTATCAATGATGCTACCTAGACATATGAAAGGTTCCATCTCTTTCAGAGTTCCTCTACTAAGTGTGATCAGTTTTGTGTTCTCTGTGTTGTATTTAAGGATCTTGGTTTTTCCCATGTGTGTGTTGAGGCCTACTGCTGTAGAGACCTCTGATACACTGTTTGTCTTTACTTGCATTTGTCGATGTGTATGGGATGGAAGAGATAGGTTATCTGCGAGGTCCAAGTCATCCAGTTGCATCCATACTGTTCATTGTGTTCTGCGCTTCCCCTCAGATGTCGAGGTTTTCATAATCGAGTCAACCACCAGAAAGGAGAGAAAGAGGGAGAGTAGACAGTCTTATCTGACACCGGTCATCACTTGGAATGCGTCTATCAGCTATTCTCCATTCACCACTTTTCAATATAGTCCGTCGTATTGATTCCGTATGATATTGACGACTTTTTTTAGGTACTCCATAGTATCGAAGAAGGTTCTATAAGGTTCTCCTATCTACTTTCACATAGTCAAGGAAGTTGATGTATAGTGACGAGTTTCATTCAACTGATTGTCCAACAATGATTCGTTGTATCGCAATTTAATAGTCTTTAACCATTGGTTACGATAATCCAATCAGATAATCTGTATTTATTAAGATGGTTAAGTTCAATTGTCGATGGATTTCATGAACTAATGCCATAGTCATGTTTTATTTTTATTTATTTATTTATAAAATATTTATATTCATTTGATTTTTCTTCTTTTATTTTCTTCTATTATTCAAAGGGTTTTATACCACGTTTAATTGGTGAAATGATTTTAACATCAGCTTATTATTGTTCTTGTCGTCTGGTCAGATTATTAATATTTGGATTAGGTAGAAGATCTACTGAAAATATGAATATTTTACGTGTATTATTATACTATACATTACATAATTATACTTATCCATTTGAAGTAAGTTTAATGTGATGAGTAGTAGTAATAGTAGTAATGTGAAGTGTCGAGGAATTCTTTTATTTCACTGGTTGATATGAGGTTTTTTTTCTAAAGAATCAGAATTATTATTTTCCAATCATTGTAAAAGTAAGATCACATCAAAAGGCTTCAATTTTTACCGTTGTATTAATCAGTTGACAATTATTTGGAAATGATTCAGGAGATATTCAGCTTAAATGAGTACTTTTAGTTAGGGTTATGTTCATTATAGTTCTGAACAAAATTATCTGCTTATACTTTGTTGTATGGAAGCCTATGTGATGTTTAGCATAGTGATAGTGGAAGCTTTCAATTAAACTGCCTCACTCAAAGAGTAAAATATCACTAAAAACTGATTTTGTGTTGTTTAGGTAGTTTAATTCAGTCAGTCAGCTACAACGTAGGACCAGGCAGGCACATATGTGCGTCGGTCTAAGTTGCCATACTTCATTAGCACAACAAGATGAACACCAGATTCATAGAACTGGTTAAGTCAATGGTGGTAATATATAAAAGAAAGATTTCATATAAGGACATATTACAGGAAGAAAGGTCTAGTACGTAGAAAGAAAGATATTAAGCGATTTTAATTTCATAGTTTAAGGGAAGACAGAGTGTATACACCGACGCCATTGTGATCGATTCTGAGCCATGTCACCAAGAGTCTCCAACCATTGGTTACGATAGTCACGCGGACCCCAACCAAGTAGTCTGCATCTACCAACATGACTCAGACCAGATGTTAGTGTCTTCAAGCACTGATGTCACCTTTTGGTTTGGTCGCCCCTAACTTTCTTCCAACCATCCCCAACACTAGTCAGCATTGCACGTCGTGGTAATCGGTGCTCAGGCATGCGTAACACGTGGCCCAACCATCTCAGTCGATGAAGATTCACAACCTCATCAAATGATTTATCATCATTCCCTAATACCCTGCGTCTAACGTCACTATTACTTACCTGGTGGTCCCAGCAGATGCGAGTTTAAATGACCTTTTCAAACTTTTAGGTTACCTATTCTAAGATTGAATAGCTGCCACAATAAATTTTCGCATTTTAGATTTATTTTAACACAGTTGTTTTGTTCTTGAATGACACACTGTAATTATACACTTTTCTAAAACAGAAAAGCTCACAATCTATCATGATACTGAAAGATATAGATGGAAACATCTTGCATGTTTGTATAATTTGCTTCTTATCTATTCGTCAAATAGATATGAGGAGAATATATTAAGATTTATATATTAAACATAATATGCAATGTGAAAATAGTCGAAAACATTCATATTTAAAGATAAATGACAGATAAACACTGTTCGAGTACATTTTTTGCATGGTTATAAATGATATACATATATCAAAGCAGAATTTATCACAACACTACATGTTTTCCATTGAGAACGCCTTACGGTGACAAAATATAAAGTATTAAATACAACTATTATTTCTACTATTAGTCCTAATCTATGCGAATGTTCAACTACCTCAATGATAATCTCCTTCACTGTTTCACTATGTCATGTGAATTCGAATCACACGAGAAGGGGATACGATTATGCTTAACATTTCCAGATATGTATTACTGATAACTTTTAATATAGGATGAAGTCTACATTCATAATATCTCGCTGATTATATTTGACCAACTAATAGACTCAGTTTTGAACAGATTTATTTATTTTACTAAGAACGTTTCTCTATTACTTACTTACTTACTTACTTACGCCTGTTACTCCCAATGGAGCATAGGCCGCCGACCAGCATTCTCCAACCCACTCTGTCCTGTGCCTTCTTTTCTAGTTCCATCCAATTCTTGTTCATTTTTCTCATGTCTATCTCCATTTCTCGGCGTAATGTGTTCTTTGGTCTTCCTCTCTTCCTTTGACCTTCAGGATTCCATGACAAATAAATACCCTATCATTGTTGGGTATATATTCCATGTATCATATTTCATTCACTACTTTTCCCTGTTGTTTACCACGAGAAAAAACTTCTGTTCCGCATTGTTCATCTAGTGTTGACGCAGGTGATCAGATATATCTGTAATTTCATATCTACCAACCATATAGAAGATGAAGTTTGTTTGACTTTTCCCAAACCACTCACAGAGAGATGTTCACTCATTTGTTGACTAAATTCCTTCATGATACACGTGATAGAGCTTTCGCTGTAGGAAGAGCTGGATCGGTAAATACACATCAAAGTGGTAAAATCAGGTAAATTATCCTTTATTTCAGTAAACACTACCGGTTTACTGGGGAATCGTAAATTAGGATTAGTTGCATAAAAATTCCTTTTAATAACTCTCACTAGTCTGTTCTGAAGGACATCATCACTAGTCATATCTCCATTAAACTGTGGTTTTAAGAAGAGACTTCCAATAACTTTCATGGATGTTTTGAACAATAGAAATGGATAATGCGACATTTGTATTGTCACAAATGAGAAGTATTTTGAAAGTGATATGATTGTTTGACTTTGACTTTTCTAACCTCAATTCTAATAGTTATAAAACAGATTACATGATTAGTTCTGCGCGCGCGAAACTGATAGGTCATGGGTTCGAATGGATGTACACTGCTGAGGAGTCCCATACTAGGATGAAACGGCTGTCCAGTGCTTTCAGGTTTCCCGTGGTGATCTAGCTTCAATTGACTCATGATCTCAACTATTGTAATCTTCAACTCTTGAGTAATAGTGAATTGACACTATAGTTTAGAAATATTATTATTAACTATCATCAATATTATATCTTATTTTATCAATATATTTTCTCTTCATTAGTTAACCGGTTGTGTTATGGCTGTACATGGTGCAAATTTAATTGGTGCTACTGAATCGAACTCTTTTCATAATTGGTATGAATGTCAACGTTATCTTAGTCAAAATCAACAACTAATTCGTGGTTGGCGTCCATTTCTACGAAGTCATGTTCAACAAATTCATTTACCAAAATTAAAAAGTTAATTTAATGAATTTGTGTATTATTACATAAATAATCTATTGCAAAAAAAACAAACATCTTGCATAGATGTTTCATTGTATTATTGTACCCCATTCTTCTAGTCAATATGTTTAATGTAATTTTTGTATAGTTTCCATATACATTAGAAAAAATTGAATAAAGCTTGTAGCTGTGATTAAAATGAAATTTTATGCTCATCCACCCCATTCACTGTTCCCCACTACCCCATCCCGATTATTATTTACGTTCTTTTATTTCTGTAAACAATAATGGTAGTGGATCAAGTAGTGAATCATGTTATGTTAATGATTTAAGTATTCCAGTCGTCGTCGTCGTCGTCAAGATTTCAGCAGAAATTCAACATTGAATACTTAGAAGTTAGTAAATGTTTCAAATAATTTAATTGATTTCAATTTAAATAATTCTAATGTTTTTTTATTATCTTGGTAAAACTGGTCTTTAATTCTTCAAAGGGAAATGATCAAAGAAATAAATATAGAAATTTTAAAATTTAGATAATCGAGAAGAATTTGTAGTTTAGGCGGATGATTTTGATGGAGTTTTGTTGTCTGAATTAGATGGTTATGTCGTGGTGCTTTCATTGTGTTTTCTTTTCTTCTGAACAACAGTATCAGCAAAAATTTCAGGTAGAAGTGAAGTGTTCGAATTTCTTCACATATGACTCATAACTTGTGTTGTAGACCTTAGTCTTGATTGGTTATTATTGACTTTTAACCTGTTATTGTGTTGGAGATGTTAGATCCACAGAATTCACTTGATTGATAAATACTTTATTTCTGTAATTCTATTTTAAAAATTTGGATTTCTTGTTTTCGCGCCAAAAACGTTCATTTTCGCCTTCATGTTGTATTTGTCACCTGAGAGGATCTTAAACACTTGTTAATTCTATCGAAGCGTCCAAGTAACCCCGATTGAGATACGCGCAAAATCGAAGTTCCAAAACAACGATTTGTCTACAAAAGCGGTTCTTTATTAAATAATACACAGAATTTAGTTACAAACCTCAACTTGTGAGGTGTCTAGGTGTTTAAACGCGTCCTCCAAGAATGAAAATAACAAAGGCTTCCTGTAAGAGTAACATAAAGAATAATCATAACATACGATAGTACAAAGACAGCCGATAGCTGTGTCTAAATTGGATAACAGTTTATGAGCAATCGAAACTCGAACCGAGGGCAAAGCAATATGGAAACTGTTGCGTTTAAACAAATGCACAAAACTGTGGATAACGGTTACAGTGATTAAGATACAGTAATTATAATGATAAATACAATGATAAGTACAATAAACGTTATAAGTATATGTGAACAATTCAGAGTATTACAGAAGAACTCGCGTTACAATGTAAGTTTGAAAATTGTTAGGACTACGACTGCTTACTGAATGTAAATGAGTAGCATAAAACAATATATAGAAGAGTAGAAAGGGAATGAGCAGGAACAATGTAAGACAAACTTAACAACACTATTGGTTCGTTGTACGTTTTAGTATGCTATTTTGTAACGCTTCCCAAGGACATTTTTATGCTGTATATATAATCTTGATTTGTGTTTGTTGTTGTTAGTGGTTCTGACTGCTTGTGGAATATATTTCCCTCTTCTGAACTTGGACTTCTCTCTCTAGTTCGCGGGGCTGGTACGCGTCGGGAATAGCTAGCTTATTGGTGATTGTGTCACAAGGTCTTCGTTCCGTTCTCAGATAAGGTGAACTCGTAATCTCTTCAAACATAGCACATTGTTTACTTTATTTTGATTGTATCTCCCATTGATTTGGTTCTCGGTCCTATATTTGTCCATAGTTTTTCTGATTGGTTGATAAATTGGATCAATTTTAATATGTCTATTGATTGCTGATTGAACTGAGTGCCAAGACTTCATCAAATGTAATAAAATTAGAATTAAAGCTTATCCAGTAAAAGGTCACTTTTGTTTATAATAGGTTAATGAAATCAACTGATATAGTAATTGTTTATCCATGTTATAGATGTCAGTAAGTCTCTCTCTGTGTGTATGTGTGTGTGAGCATGTATCTGCAGACTGTTGTTATTACTTACTTACTAACTTACTCCTGTTACTCCCAATGGAGCATAGGCCGCCGACCAGCATTCTCCAACCCACTCTGTCCTGGGCCTTCCCTTCTAGTTCCATCCAATTCTTGTTCATTTTTCTCATGTCTATCTCCATTTCTCGGCGTAATGTGTTCTTTGGTCTTTCTCTTCTCTTCCATTAGCCTTGAGGATTCCATGTGAGGGCTTGCCTTGTGACGCAGTTGGGTGCTTGCCTCAATGTGTGTCCTGTCCACTTCCAGCGCTTCTTCCTCCACTGGGATCTGGTTTGTTCTCTCCCACAGTACGTTGTTGCTAATAGTGTCCAGCGAACGGATCCGAAGTATTTTGTGTAGACAACTGTTAATAAACACCTGTATCTTCTGGATGATGGCTTTCGTAGTTCTCCAGGTTTCTGCCCCATACAGTAGAACTGTCTTGACATTTGTATTGAAAATCCTGACCTTGGTGTTGGTTGACAGTTGCTTTGAGTTCCAGATGTTCCTCAGTTGTAAATATGTTGCTCTTGCTTTGCCGATCCGTGCCTTCACATCTGCATCAGATCCACCCTGTTCATCAATGATGCTGACTGTTGTTATTAGAGAACAATAAGTAATTATTATCATTATCTTTATTTATAATCTGAAAGTATATTTGAGTAATATAAATCAGTTGAATTGAAATTCCATTCAATGAATAAAAATGATCAATAAATCAAAGATATATGAAGATTCAGTTATTGTTGATATTCCTTTTTCTAATTGATGGATGCCTACGATCTTTGTATTGACTTGTTAATCAATAGTTACTATGATAATAACTAATTATTGTAATAGTTAAGATTATGAGTCCATTGAAGTTATACCATCATAGAAAATCTAGAAGCACTGGATGGCTTTATCGTCCTATTGTAGGACTCCTCAACAGTGTGTATCCACGATCCCGCCTCATGTTATGATTTGATCAATGTGACTGAAAAAACTTTTAGTGTTATTTAATGATTTATACCTTATATATGTATATGATAATGTTGATTTCGATCATATTTCCTTTGAAGAAGTTCCAAATAATTGACTGAACGAAACTCTGGAATTATCTAAATCGCAGTCGTTAAGATGACTGAATTCTAATGTTTACATTTTATGATTAGAGTATTTTAAGTGAAATGGTTCATATGTCTAACCATCTCTCATTTCGACAATCAACCCTGTTGTTTGGTTTAGGTTTGTGTAAGAATGATAAAAGTGAACAAATGAAAAACAATGATTCCAATAACTGAAGAGATTCATGAAATTTTTTCATCATTATAGAAATTACCATTATAACTTCAATTGTAAACCTAAACATCTTGTTCATTTCATCTCATTATTCTAATATGGTATACTGTGTCGGATAGAATCACATTTGCTCCAAGTTTTACTTTATTTATGACTGATACTTGGTTCAAATCGACTGAATTGTTTTACTTATATGTATCTGAAATTGGTTAAAGGTTGTGTAAAGCGGCATGAACAAATGCAGATAAAGACAGCCAGTGTAGCAGCACTCTCTGCATCAGTAGGCCTCAGCATACACAACGAGAAAACCAAGGTCTTCAAATTCAAAACCAAGAACAGCAATCCAGTCACTCTTGATGGCGAAACTCTGGAAGATGTAGAATCCTTCACATACCTGCGAAGCATCATCGATGAACAAGGAGGTTCAGATGCAGACGTAAAGGCGAGGATTGGCAAAGTAAGGGCCGCATTCCTACAATTGAAGAACATATGGAACTCAAAACAACTGTCTATCAACCAATGTCAAAGTCACAATCTTCAATACGAACGTAAAGGAAGTTCTACTGTACGGAGCTGAAACTTGGAGAACTAATACAACCACCATCAAGAAGATACAAGTATTTATAAATAGTTGTCTAAGCAAGATAATCAACACCCATTGGCTAGATACCATTCGTAACAGCCTACTGTGGTAGAGAACAAGCCAACTTCCAACTGAATTGGAAATTAGGAAAAGACGATGGAAATGGATAGTACATACATTACGCAAATCATCAAACTGTATCATGAGGCAATCCTTAACTTAGAATCCTGAAACGAAACGGAAAAGAGGAAGCCCAAATAACACATTACGTCGGGAAATAGAATCAGATATGAAAAGGATGAATAACAACAGGAACGAGCTTGAAAAGATTATTCAGGACAGGGTTGGATGGAGAATGCTGGTGGGCGGCCTATGATCCTCGACGAGTAGTAACAGGCGTAAGTAATTGTTGTGTGCCGAGTTGTATAATGAGTGGTGATCTTTTAGATCTATTTTTGGACCAATACTGTGCGTATATTTTTACCGTATAATTGTTAATTAACTAAGCTATTCATATTCATGTCCCTCTTATCATAAGCTTTATTTTAACCTATAAACTGTTATTATAAGATTTTCCATTCTTGAATTATTCTCTGTCTATTAATCACTACCTCCCACATTCACAGCAACATTTGGCCAAATCAAGTACAAATGTTATTTTCTATTTTATGGTACGATGTGGTCTGTTTGATTGGCATATAAACAGAGTATGTTTGAAATACATGATTCATATTGCAGAGACTGAGACTTGTGTTCTGGACTTAAGTGGCTGGGCTAGACAGGAAGCAGGGCCAATCAGGACTTTAGGCTGCTCGCACGTGTTTACGCGTCCTTGGTCCGATCGTTAAGTCACTGCTCTCTAATCGGCGGTCACAAGATATAACAGTAATAATAATAGTTTAAAGTTACAGAACACCTACTGAACTCGAAATCTCGTTTATTATTGAATTCTCTTTTTGCTAAGATTACTAATGATTAATTGGTCCTGAAGTTGGCCAAGGTAAGGAGAGTGGTTGAAGATCTTTTGTTTCCTACGCAGCACCGGTTTTTTAATCCTAATGACTATCGCTTCTGCCA